CAAGGGTTTTTGACTCAGCTTGTATTTGGTTGTGTTGATTTCCTTTTCGGTATGAAGCTCTTAATTGTCAAGATTAGCCTTGAAAAATTAAATCTAGAAAAAGGAGAGTTTATAGTATTTTAGTTTCCCCTCAGACATTTACAGTTGTCCCTCGGTATCCACTGGGGATTTGTTCCAGAACCCCCGCACGTAACCAAAATCCACGGATGCTCAAGTCCTCTGCCCCTCCGGATCCGCGGGTGCTGCATTTGCAGGTGCAACCGCCCGCGGATCGTAAACATTGTACGTGTAAACATGGTAGGTACGTGATCCGCGGTTAGTTGAATCCACGAGTGTGGAACATGTGGATACAGAAGGTGCTGTACTTCCACAGAAGTAGGCCTTCCTCCTGTATTGTTTTAATTTAAGGCAAAAAAAAAAAAAAAGTTTTGTTCTTCCCTGTTGAAGGAGGCTTTTTTAGAGACAAGCAAACGTAAAAGCATGAGAACCACCACCCTGAGCTGGCACTGCAGTCCATCTAGCCCAGGAAGTGACGTTTAACTCAAATCTCCCCCAACTATTCCATCGGATGCTCCCCTCTAGCTCCCCGAAAAAAAAAAAAAAAAAAGCACTGCTCTTTGACCTAGCATTTCAACTTTGGGGAAGTTATCCTAGACATACACTTGCTTATATATAAATTAGCAAATTTTATCAATTGTAGTATTATTTGTAGTAGCAAAAGACTAGAAAGAATCTGAATGTCCATCAATAAGAGACTGGTTACATAGAATTTCTGACAATGGAATACTATACAGCAATGAAAATGGATCACAGCTACATGTGACAACATGGTGGGATAAAGAAGCAAGACCCAAAAGAATATTTACGCTAAGATTCTCTTTACGTAAAGATTAAAATCTATTAAGATAAAAACTAAACCATATTGTTAGAGATGATTACATGAGTTGTGAAACTATAGAGAAACTATAAAGAAAGAAATAATGACTGAAAAAGTTAGCATGGTGTTACTTTGAAAGAGGGAAGGGGCTGTCAGGGGACATTTGGGAGATGCTTCTGGAGTGCTGGCAATGTTTTAGTTCTTGACCTGGATGGTGCTTACATAAATGTTAGCTTTATAATTATTCTTTGAACTGTACATAAATGTTCTGTACACTCTTTTGTGTGAATGAGATCTCTTATGATTTAAAAATATCACAGTCCATCCGAACAGTGGAATACTATACAGTCTGTAAAAAGACTAAGACAACTCTATACACACAGGCATGGAATGGATTTAGGGAAAAACTTCCCCAAAGGGAAGTACAATGTGTTTAGTATGCTGCCTTCTGTGTAAAATTAAAAAAAAAATTAATCTGCCTCTATGCTTGTGTCTGCTTAAACTTTTTTCTAGAAAAATACACAAGAATCTGGTAACAGGGGTACTCTGTGGAAGGCGAACTGGGCAGTTTCCCTTTTTGTACCTTCTGGATTTTGTACCTTATGTATATATTACCTATTCAAAAAATAAAATAATTAAAAAAATTTTTTTTGGCCTCTCATTTCCTGGAGCCCCCAAGATTTTTGGTTTCAAACCAATTTCTTGGCGACAAGCAGGAGAGCCACAGCCCAGGCATGAGGCACGTGGCGACCCCCAGCAGGTCGGGAACCCTCTCTGGGCCCCGTTTCCTCTGCTGAGGAAGAAGGAGGCTGGGCACGTGCTCCTCTAAGGTCCCATCGCCTCCCAGCCACCGGCTGTCCCGTCTCCTCTCTCCCTTGCTTTGTCCTCCTCTCCCGCCGTCCTCGTCCTGGCCTCTCTTTCTTGCCCACTTCTCTCTACTCCCTTCTTTGACTCTTTCTCCTAGTGTTCTTCTCTTTCCCTTCCTCACCAGTCCTCGCTGCTTTCCCCCCCGTCTCTGCCCTTCCTGCTTCTCCACACTTGGCTTCTCAATCTTTCTTATTTGTTTGTTTGTTTGTTTATTTATTTATTTTGTGAGGAAGATCAGCCCTGAGCTAACATCCGTGCCAATCCTCCTCTTTTTGCTGAGGAAGACTGGCCCTGGGCTAACATCCGTGCCGGTCTTCCTCCACTTTATATGGGATGCCGCCACAGCATGGCCTGACAAGCGGTACATCGGTGCGCGCCGAGGATCCGAACCCCGGGCCGCCAGCAGCGGAGCACGCGCACTTAACCGCTATGCCATGGGGCCAGCCCCTCAATCTTTCTTCTTGCTTCCTTCCTCCCCACTAGGATCCAGCCCCTCCTACAGCCCCAGAAGGCTCTTCATGCCCCAGCTCTCCACTCACAGCTATGTGACCCTGGGCGAGTCCCTGCCCTCTTGGGGCTCAGTGTAACAGCTGGTTGTCTTGGTTATGTGTGATCACAAGGGCAGAAGCACCCAGCACAATGCTGGGCACTCAGAAAATAATTGCCCCTCTTTTAAAGGAGCTGTTAGCCCTGGGGCTGTGGGTTATCGGACTCTTCCTGCTCTGCTCAACATTGCTTAGAACCCGGATCCTACTATCCCGAAGGTCTCGGGAAGAGGCCTCTGGTGCACTTTGGGAGGAGGGACGGTGGGAGGAAGGATGGGGAGGACTCGGTGTGTGAATGGACACGGACGCTGGTACTACACAAAAGCGAGAGTCATTCTGCCCATTTCCAGAGATTTGCAGCCCTGGGTCTTTTTTGAGCTTCCTTACCCAGGCCCCTTGGGCCTGGCCAGACTTGGGACAATGGAATCTCTCTCCTCTCCTGGGGCCTCTTGAGACTTAGGCCTCAGGAACACCTAGTCGACCTGGTCTGCTGCCTGCATCCATGGAGAAGAGCACTACACTCCCTGCTACAACCAGCAAAGGCTCCCTAGTCGCCTCTGGATGCAACCCAGGCTCCTTGGCTTGACACTCAAGGCTCTTTACCTTCCCGGCCTGTCTTGCTTCCAGCCTCAAGGATGGCGGCTCACTGTCCCTTTGTTCTTTTCCACCTCCTTGCCCTTGCCCAAGCTGCTTCCTCAGTCAGACATGCCTTTTCCCTTGCCTGCTTTCCTTCCCGTGGCCCTGACCAAACTAATTGTTCCCCAATGCACCCGGCACCTCCCTCTCTTGTGCCCCTACCTCCCCAGAAAACCATACTGTCTGATTCCGTGTCTGTTCTCTCTGCAGGCCTGTGAGCTCCTGGAGGCACGAGGCATGCCTCATCCATCTTTGTGCCCCCTTACCAGGCCCAGCACATGGAAGACCGTCAATGATTAAATGACTGAATGAGTAGCTAAATAAACACATAAACAAACTAAACCAAGACAATAATGCATGCATGCATGAATGAAGGAATGCATGAGTACATCAAGCAGGACCCTGGTTCTCAAGACTCACCCCCACACACATCCAGTCAGCTGGGACTTGGCCTTCTTGATGAGGAAGTGGGGAGCAAGGATGGAGCTGATGCCAAGTCAGCCTACCTATCCTCTCCTCTTGGGGAGGAGCCTTGGTCAGGTTCCTAGGCAGTCCTGAGAACTGATGACCTGGACCCCTTGGAGAGTCCCAAGTGCAGATACAAAAAGTCAGTGAAGATAGAAGTGAAGCAGATCTAGTGGTGAGCCCAGATCTGTGAATCCCTGGTCTTTGCCGCCAGTGAAGAAACACTTAAGGACCTGGGATTCCACTGACAGGAAGGAGGCAGGTCTTAGTGGGAAAGGGGTACAAAGCAAAGGGTTAGACTACATAGAGGAGGAAGTTGAATGCTCAAGAAGTTTCTCCCTCACAGAGTGAACTCACCAGAGATCATTGGATCAAAAAATGTCTCCATTCATCCATTTGCCCTCCAGACTAGATTAGGAGCTCTCTGAAGGCAGGGATCTTGTCTAATACTTTTCTATTTTCCCAGTATTCAGCATAGAGCTTGGAACTCAATTAATATTGGAAGGATGCATTGATGGATGGATGGGTGGATAGGTGGATGGGCGGGTGGGTGGGTGGGTGGATGGGTGGATGAGTGGATGGGTGGGTAGATGGATGGGTGGATGAATGCATGGACCAATGGACGGTCCAATCTATTCATGGGTGAATAGATTGATAGCTGGATATAGAGTGGATGAACAGATGGAAGTATAGACTGGTGGATTAATAACAGATGGATGGCTAGATGGACAAGTAGATAGACAGATGGGTGGATAGATGAATGGACTAACATATAAATGGATGAATGAATGGACAGTTAGATAAATAGACAGATGAATGTATGGCTGGCTTGATGGGTGGATAGATGGACGGACAAATAGATAAAAAAAATAGATGGGAAAATAGATGAATGGATGGACAGACAAGAACTCAGGTTTGTAAACAAGGAGATTATATTGATATTCAGGCATTGGCAAGGTGTGGGGAAACTGAGAGATGTGGGCTGGGAATAGAACCCCTAGGGATTTGGAAGAAGCAGTGGTCACTTAGGAAGCTGTGAGGGGAGGGTATAAGAACCTAGGACTCTCCTCTGGTGGAAGGGAAGCCAGGTTGAAGGGGCTCAGAGGAAAGGGGCAAGTGGCACTGTGCTGAGGACCCTGCCCCTGAGCCCAGCCCCAGCTTGAGTGGACTCTAGGCATTGGGTGCCCAAGGCCCAGAAAGAGTCAGGCTTGGCAGTCAGCGGGATCAGAGCCCTCAGCCAGTCAGGCTGACCCCAGAAAGTAGAGGCCCCACGAGGCCACCCATACCAACTCTTACCCCAAGGAAGTGACTGTTGGCCACGTGGGGGTCTCAAGAGAAGTAGGCATGTGTGGGGTTAGGGGTTTGAGAGCCTCATCAGGGCCCTGGGGCAGCAAAGTCCTCCAGGTGGTAGAGCTAGCCTTCCTCCCTCCCACTCTTCCTCTCTAGCCTAGCCCCCGAGGCCGCCCCTCACAGTCCCAGCTTCCTCTGGGCAGGGGGCCTGGCCCCCATGGCCTCCCAGGCCAGCCCCTGGAGCACCACCTGCCCCAGCCGGCCAGAGACTTCCTGTAGTGCAAGAGATTTATGCAAACGGGCTGGGGCGGTGATGTCACCCCAAGGGGACTATCTCCCAGTGGCAGGCCCTTCGATAAAATCAGGAACTTGCGCTCGCCCTGCAATGTCACGGGAGGGGGCTCACCCAGGGCTCCTGTAGCTCAGGGGCAGGCCTGAGCCCTGCGCCCGCCCCGAGTCCCTCCAGCCCCGGACGGGGCGCCCCATGCCGAGGGGCTCCTCACTGGCCCCCACCGAGGCAGGGGACCTGACCGGCTCGGAGCTCGGCTGGATGTTACAGGCGTGCAAAATGGAAGGGTTTCCCCTCGTCCCCCCTGTGAGTACCGGGACTCCTCCACTAGCCCAGCCCGGGGCCCTCGGACGCCCGCCAGCCTGCCCACCAGCCCGCCAGCCCACCGGCTGCCCTCCTGGCTCGCTATCAGTGGGAAGTTGGTGTTTCCTGCCTGGAGCCCCTGGCCTGAGACCCAGCGAGGGGGCCATTGGCTTCCTCGGAGCATGCCCTGGCGGGCGGAGGGCTGGGCCCACGGTGGGGCTGTGATCGGTGGGGCCTGAACGGTTATTTATAGATGGGGCTTGGGTGGCAGGCCGAGCTCCAGGGCAGGGTGCTGGGTGAGGATGGTGAGGGCGGCGGCAGAGAGGTGGCGGGGAGGAGATGGGGAGACTGGTGTTGGGGGAAGCCGGTCCCCAGGACAGTCAAGGCTTGAGGGCAGGAGGCAACAGGCCAGAGTCGTGGCCCATGGCCTGGGTGCTCCTGGAGACTGAGGTTGCTTCAAGTCTGGCTCCCCAGCGCCCAGTCTGGGGCCTGGCACAGAGGACATGGTTGTTGACTGAAGGGTCTGGGCCTTGAGCCCGCAGGTCCCCGAAAGGCTGGGGCAGGGGCAGGGCTGGAGCAGAGAGTGGCGCTGAGACTAGGGTGGCAGTTAGGGTTGGGGCGAGGAGGGCAGGGACCAGGCTGGGGACATCCTGGGGCTGAGATTGGGGCTGGGGTAGGACCTGGCCAAGTGTGGGACTGGAGTTAGGGCAGGGGCTGAGGCTGGGACAGGACTGAGGCTGGAGGTGAAGAAGCAGGGCTCTCAGGGGACCCCAGGAAGGGAAGGCCACCAAGCTCCTGCTCTCGGTGACAGTTGCAGCCTTAGGCAGGTGTCAGACCTGGCCCGCTCTGAAAGGACCTCTCTCCTTCTCCCCACCCCATCCCCACTCAGCAGAGGTGGGGAGCCCTGAGGGGAGCCGGGAAGGGCTTGGCAGGGCCTGGCCACCTGACTCAGCTTTCCCGGCCTAGAGGCAGCTCCCTTCCCCCAGCGGCCTTGGAGCCCCGGGGTAGCACCCCAGGCCTGACGTCCCACTACTGGGCTTGCTGCCCGGAAACCCAGTGCTGGGCTCCTGGCCTCCTCACTCGGCCAGACACAGACAGGACCAGCCAGCCAGCCCCTACCTGGCCCTGGCCCACCCTTCCCCGACCTGGGACCAAGAAGGTGGGCGGCAGGCAAGGGGTGATGGAGGTGGTCCCAGGAAGAGCCGGGGGGGCTTGGCCACACTGTCTCTGATCCTTGACCTCTCACACCCTGAACTCCAGGGAGAGTGAGGCAGGAGGCGCATCTTCTTGGGCTCCCACACCAAACCCCTCAGCCCCGCTCCACAGGCCCGGGGCTGCTCTGAGTGACTCCTGGGAGGGTGGGCTCCCAAGGCAGCCTTGGCCCCCAACCCAAGCCCTGAGGGCCAGAGTAACTGTTGTGCAATCCTTGAGTACACGCTGCGGGGGTGGGGAGAAGCCTGATGACTGTTGGGAAGGCTCCGGGTGTGCATGTCCCTGTGTCTGTGCGAGTGAGTGAGGAGGAGGAGGGGGAGGAGGAGGAGGGAAGAAGGAGGATGAGGAGGAGGGAATGAGGAGGACCGGGAGGAGTGGGGGGAGGAGTGAGGAAGGGAAGGGAGGAGGAAGGGGTGTGGGGAGGAGGATGAGGGGTGAGGGCTGAGGGTGAAGGGGAGGAGGGCAGGGAGGAAGAGAAGGGGGCACCTCAGTGAGGGTATCCGGAGGAGGATGGAGGAGGGAGGGTAAGAGGATCAGGGCTCCAGCTGTCCCACGGCCCCCAAAGCCTTCCTGGGTGAATGCTGTCAAACCCATCAGTGTGGATTTGGCCACCGGTCATCGTGGTGGCCCTGAACCTGCCTAGGGCCTGGGCACAGGCTGTGAGGAGAGCGGGGGGCTGGGGTGGAGGCTTTGCAGACTTTGGCAGGGAGGACAACCGTGTGCGCTGTGCGGATGAGTGTGCAAGTGGAATATGAGTGACTGTGGAAGGGTACAGGTCTGAAAGTGAGTGTTAATGGGCTTGAAGGCAAGTGTGGACACATGTGTTAGTCCGAGTGACTGCGTGTGCCTACAGGGTGAGTGTATAATGGTGTGTGTGGCCACAAACGTGTGTGAATGTGAGTGACCCTCAGAGTGAGTGTGAGTGGACGTGTGGGTGTGAGTTCACAAGTGGGTGTGTGGGCACAAGTGTGTCATAGGGAGTACGTGTACGTTTGGGGGCTGTAGGCGTATCAGGGTGGGCGTGAGAGGGCGAGTACATGACTTGGGGACCGGGGCATGCAGTGTGAGTGTGAGTGTGAGGTAGCTGTGGGGAAGGGAAGGGAGGGAGGCCGTACTCTCCCCCTCAGCCCTGGTCCTCTCTTGACCTCTGACCTCCAGGGTCACTGAGGACCCCTTTCTGCGGGAGCCAAGGCTCCTGCTCTCCTGGGTCCCCTGCTCCCGCCCTGTGTGGCCTCTCCCAGTTCCAACCAGAGAGACGGCTGCAGGCGGGATGCAGCTCCTCAGTGGCTCAGTCTGGGACGGTGGTGTGGACCCAAGATACTGGGGGCTACGACCCTGGCTGGGGTCTCCCCGCCACAATCTGAGTCCTGACACCCCCCTCTCTCAGCAGCCATCAGAAGACCTGGTTCCCTACGACACGGATCTGTACCAACGCCAAACGCATGAGTATTACCCGTATCTCAGCAGTGATGGAGAAAGCCACAGCGGTGAGTCCACGGCCCCGCCCTGCCCCCACCCCCAGCCTGGCCCGGGCACCCAGCCACTCCTGGGTCTGCAGAGAGAAAAAGAAGATGTGTTCCCAGGCCCTCTTAGGAATTCTGAGAATCGGATGAGTTAGTTCTCAGGGGATGGGAATTCACTATTCCAAACCCCGACACTCCCGCTCTCCCACACCCCACACCCCCGTCCTGCCTTTCTGGAGACTCTTTGGTGTGCCGAAGCGCCGGATTAGCTTCTTCCACATTTAACTTCTTGTCCAGTCCTTGTGGCCCTTTTACAAATGGGGAAACTGAGGCTTAGGGAGCTATGTGACTCGCACAAGGTCGCACAGCTGGTCAGTGGTACCCAGGTCTGTCTCCTCCGGGTCTAGTGCCTTTTCCTCACCCTTCCCCCCAGGTCTCTCCTTCTTCCTCTCTGTTCTTGTCACCTCCTTTACCTTGAACTCCTCATTGGTGCCGCCCCGCTTCCCGCTGTGTGTGGCTAGCAGAGTTTCTATTGACATTTAGGGCCAGATAATTCTATATTGTAGGAGCCTCTCCTGTACAATATGGGATAATTGGCAGCATCCCTGGCTTCTACCCATTAGGCGCCAGTAGCGCTACCAATCATGACAACCAAAAACATTTCCACTCATTGCCAGATGTCTCCTGGGGGGTAGAATCACCTCTATTTGAGAACTGCTAGGCTAAGGGAAAGGCTCTGGGGACCCCTCATTCAGCAGGCGCCGAAGCCCCCAGTTTGCTGGGTGTGGGGGTGAGGATGGGACCCGGGCCAGGGGATCTTTCTGTCTGGGTCTAACTGCCCACCCCAGGGCCCAGCCTTGGTCCTGGAGCAAGTGTTGGGGAGCAGAGAGAGGATTAGGTGCCTGGGACCTGGGCAGGAGGCTGAGAGGGGTCCCCTGAAGTGGATCTTGGCATATTGATGTGGACACCTCTGAACCAAAGGCCAGTTGGCCTGGTGAATGGGCCCTCACTGGGGGATCTTCCAGGGGGTCTGAGACCCGTGCAGGCCAGACACTGGGGTGTCTGCAGCCCCAGAGGGAGAAGCACGCCGGGGACCACAGCTGAGGAAGCTTTCACACCTGAAGTCCACAGCTGGGGGCCAGTCACACCTATAGCTCCATTCTGCAGGCACATCTACGGCCATCCCCACCTGATGGCCATGTCCGATGATGCCACATGCCATGAGTCTTTATTTAGGGCTCTCACATCTGGGTGCCCAATCTGCAAACAGCGTCACCTGGAACTCACACCTGGCAACTATTATAAAGACTATACCTGGAAGCTGTGTTTTGGGAGCAGGTGGTGGATATGCCTCAAGGCCACGTCTGGGAACACAGGCTTCTTTCAGAACCCCAGGACTAGAAAGGTTTTTAAATATCCTCTTTTTCATCATTTTAAGCTTATTTGTAATTCTACAAGAAATGCATCCTTTCTGTGGAAAATCCAGACAATTTAGAGAGAATCTCCCTCATTGCACTCTATCCCAGCTCCCCCAGCCAGGATCAAGGGCTGGTCTCCACGGTCCAGAGACCACCTGCACACCCTTCCACCTAGCGGTTCAGGACCTCAGAAGGTCACCCTGGGCCTGAGACCGGCGCCCCCTAGTGGCTCCAGGCAGCAGGACGGCTCAGGTCCCAGCAAGCTGCCTGTGACCCTTTCCTTGGCCTGACGCCTCTCAGTTTCACTGGGTTTGGGGACATTGCCTTTGGATCTATTACAGCCTCAGTTTCCCCTACGGTAATATGAGGGTGCCGTCCACATATCTAGAAACGAGCTAGGCCAGGGGCTGGCTGATGGACTAAGCCACTACTTCAGAGAAAGTCTGTTTTCCTTGCTCAGTGCCCAGGCAAGTCCATTATGTCTGGGGTGGGGCTCTAGGAATGACTCCTGCTTGGATGCCTGAGCACCCCGTTTTGGTCATGAAGCCCCAATTCCTTCAGAGGCTCCTCCAGTGTCCCCACGTGTCACAGTCCCTCCCCCCCATCATTGCTGATCTGGGCATCCCCGTGCTGTCCCTTCCTAATACCTGTTGGAAGGTATTGCCTGAAGACCGGGGAGTGGAGATACCCCTACATCCTTCAACCAGTTCCTGCATGTCCTCTGGGTCTACATCTTTAGGTGGTGAAGCTTCGTGAAAAGGTGCTGGGGTCGGACCTGGGCCTCGTCCTGGCTCCATCACTCACCAGTGTGTAACTTGGAGCAAATGATTTAACCTCTCTGAGCCCTTGTTTCCTCATCTGTAAAACTGAGGGCATGATCATACTTACCTCGAAGAGTTGTGACAATTAAATGAGGTAATGCATGTAATGGATGAGGTACATACTGAGGACAAGGCTCAGTAAACATTCAAGACATTAACTTTACTGCATCCTCCCAGGAAGGGGAGATGAAGCAGCTGGGTGAGTGGGAGAAGCACAGAGGGCTCTGTGATGGATTAACTGGGTCATTTTCCACTGACTCAGCTGACAGCCACCCATCCACCTCCACCCACCCATCCACCCACCCACCCATCCATCCACTCACACTCCCATCCATTCACCCTCCTATCCACCCACCCTCCCATCCATCCACTCACCCACCCATCCACTCACCCTCCCATCCACTCACCCTCCCATCCATCCACTCACTCTCCCATCCATCCACTCACCCTTCCATCCATACCTTCACCCTCCCATCCACCCACTCTC